CTAGAATATTACAGGTATCATAAGACACTACATTTATTATAATTAAATGAAACTTAAGATCCTTACAGATTAACAAGTTCTAGGTCAAAATATAACTGTAGCACTTGAAGTCAAACAGATAATAAACACAGTTAATATTTTTCAACATTTAATATTACTTAAGCAAGGCTACAAAGATATTATTTCTTGACAGGACATGTTTCTGACCAGGTTACCATCTTGATCATACAAATTATAATTTTACTAATCTTTGCTATGTACTTTTCTTTTTACAAAAACTGTTGTCTAAAGTAAGTTGAAAAGAATAGTATTAGTAAAAATGCTTTTGAATTGCAGAGGTAAAAATACCATAATATGACACTATCCCCGATATGATCGGATCAGTAAGACCTTTCAGCTGTCAAGTGCAAACCTGCATCAAATTTTAGAATTTAGTAAAAATAATAATTTTAACTCTTTTTGAACTGTTTTAACTCAAAAATATTTTAGAGCAAATATTGTGATATTTTAGTTTAGTTCACAAAGAAATGAAAAATCTTTAAAATTTCACACATGTGCAGCTCTGAAGAAGTCTTGCTTTTTAACAATGCACTTATAAATTTTTTTTTTTTTTACTTTTTCTGCCCATTCAAAAGTCTAGGTTTATATTTGCTAAGAAACTATCATATTTTGAGAAAATAATTATTCATGGCCTGTTTATTGGGTGATTTTCATTCTCATTTACTAGTTTTATTAGTATGAACTATGAAAGACAATTTATGAAAACAGCAATAGGCAACATTTAAATTTTATTCAATAGGACAGGTTATGAAATTATTTACATCACTTTACAGTAAATAAAGAGGGATGAGAAGTAATTTACGATTTCATTGCAAAGTTACTAATTGTAGCTCCTGTAGAGAAAAACAGAGGAATATAATGTGTAACTTAGAAGACTTTTAGGTATAAACCAATTGTTTTTTTTCTTTTTATGATTCCTTTGGACATTCCTTTTTATTCTTTTTCCAAAACATACTACAGCTATTACTTGACTGTTAGGGTTTCCTTCCTTTGCCCATCTAAGCATTGGTCTAATTTTTGTCTCGCTTGCTCCAGTCTTTTATTTACAATTTAATCATTCTTGGCAATATCTGTTTTGTGACACTCTCCACCTATGTAAATGTGCCCTATATCCTGTTACTGTATATAAGCACCTCATTCAGATATTATAACTTTTTCTCGACAAAGCATTCACTAATGGGCCTCTCTGTACTTTGACCGTTGGAGATATTTTGAGCATTATTCGTGTTACCTATTTGTTTTTAGTAAAAACAAACAAGTTTCTTTTTGTTTGTCAAGCCAATATAAAGCATGAATTCCCAGATTATTGTCTCCAACATAGAGGCAAATCAGGTCTCTCCTATCCTGGACATTCTGGAGAGAATTTAGATTTGCTTTTTTCCAGCACTTTCCTTTATTTTGTCTGCTTCTCAGGAGACCAAATTGGGATCAGCCACCTCTGGCTCCTTTTCTTCAGTTGATAAATCAAGTGTGTTTTGGGCCTTTCCCTGGTTGCTTTTGAGTCTGCACTTTCCTTGATCCCAGAAAGGACTGAAGGCAAATACTAAGTTCTCCCTCCATCCTCTGATATTGCAATTCATTTGGGGAGCTTTGCTGCTCAATTACATGAAGGAACAGCTATGTCTTGTCTGCCATATTTATCAGAATAACATGTTTTAGTCTACCACTGCCAGGTGGACGTGTATTTAAACTCTCAAAGAATAGACCCACTCTTAGAAATTTGGGGTTCCAGAATAGAGTCTGTGGTCAAACTGAATAGATCACACTTTTGTAGGTTTCATCTGATCTTCACTATGGTGTTAAGATATTTATCATCCCTCCAACTTTTGTTGGAAGCCTCTTGGGGATCACCACATCAATTTGATGATGAGTTGGGAGTATTGTTAGCATCTATCTTGGTTTGATTGTCAGCTTTTTCACTTTCCTTTGTCTCTTGGCTGGTATGTTGTTGGGAGTTATGGGGTAGAGATGCATTGTTGGAGGGCATTTATATACCAGCTACCACCATCTATGAGTTATGCGAGGGCCCCCTTTTTCCAACCCTTGATTTTTTGGTCAAGGGGGCAGTGGAGAGAGTCATCCCACTTCTTCCAGGGTTTTATTCCCATCTGTTTGTTTCACCTAAGAAGACAGGAGATTGGCATCCAGTCATTGATCTTTCTTGTCTAAATCAATTCCTAGATCCTCCAAGGTTCACAATAGAATCATTTCTCACTCTGCATTGTCATATTTTTACCAGGACTGTGGATGACCAAGTTCGTTGTCTCTGATGGCTATCTGTATGTTCTCATAGTGGAATTTTCCTACCACTATGTGCATTTTGTGCACAATGGTCAGGTGCCACAGTTCAAGGCTCTGCCCTTTGGACTAGCATTGGCACCATATGTGTTCTGCTAAAATCATATGAGCTTTTTCTCATCACCTTCATTCCCTAGGCCTGTTCACACACACTATTACATGGACGACTGGTTACTGCTGGCACAATGTTGTCAGTTGGCAGAACGTCACACCTATATTCTACTTTCAGAAGCAACCAAGGCAGGATTTATTATCAGAGATAAGAATTCTATTCTCACTTCAACATGTATCTCAGTAGGGCTCAGCTGACTCCCATTCAGCTCCATGTTATGGAACAGGCAGTCCGATTCTTATTCACCTCTACTTCTCCCATTGTGCAGATGGATCTTTCCCTTTTGTAGATGTGGGCATTGCTCAAATCCCTCGTTCTTTTGGGACAGGTGCACATAAGATCCCTTCAGTGATCTCTACATGACCAATGGATCATGAACAGTGATCCACTGGACTCCCCAGTCTGCATATTTAGGATCAACATCTTTGATCTCAAGTAGGGGTTAAATCTGAACAATACTATGATAGGTGTTCCTCTGCTACCACCTCAACCATAGATTCACCTCTTCACAGATGTCTCTCTTCAGGAATGAGGTGCATATCTCAATGGTCAGGAATTTCAGGGCCTACGGACAGAAGATGAGGCTTCCCCAACACAATATTTTAGAACTTCTTCATGTTCATAGGGCAATGTTTCAAGGTCTCGACTCTAGACTTATTAAGGGGAAATATCATCATGCTTCACTTCGACAATTTCATTGAGGTGTCTCCCATTCCCCATCAAGGGGGCACTTGGCCCAGGTCTTTGTTTTTGAAACTTGGATTTTCTTTATTGGGCCCACTTCCATCATATTATCCTACTAGCTTGCCCAGTTCTGGAGGTGATGAATTTGGTGGCAGATCAATTGTTTCAACCCAACCACAATCTCCCAACAGAATAAATGCTACATCGCAAAGCTTCCTTTGGATTTGTTCTCAGTTTGGGATACTGATGATCAATGCATTTGCCACTCATTGGAACACTCAACTATTGGCATTTTAGTCTCTGGTACCTCACCCTTGGGCCTTGGCCGTAGATGCATTCAGTCAGGACTGGACAGGATTGCACCTCTATGCCTTCTCAAAAATTCATATGTTACCCACAGTACATGCTATGATTTGTTTAACCTCTTGGGTTCTGTTGATAGCACCAGATTGGCTGGCTCAACCTTGGTTTCTGCTTCTGAAGTAACTTCAAGTTTGCCCACATCTGTTGAGGCTGCCACAATCCAACATTGTTCACCCAGCCATCTTGAAGCTCAAGCTCCATGCATGGAGGTTATGCAGTTCTTTGCACACCATCAAGGTTTAACTGCTAAGGTTGCCATGTATCTGTCTCAGATTTTGTTTAGTCCCAAGATGGATATTTATCAATGGAAATAGCACACATATCAACAATGCAAGAAGGTTGAACCAACTTTGTCCAGAAGTGCCAACCATAACTCTCCTTTTGACATGACTCTTTGACAAAGGTTTCACATCTTCCACAATCGCCTTGTATAAGACCAAAATTAGTTGAGTCCCTAGTACTCTCTGGCCTCCTTAAGTTGTTTCAGGTCCTTTTGTCCCAAACAACCATTTCATTTACCTAACTAGGGTAGTGAGGGGGTATTACATGCTTTTTCTCAACATCCACTTGAGCCCTTAGACTCATGTACCATGTATCACCTTTCCCCATGAGGTTTATTTTATGCTGCTACTGGCCTGTGAAGTTGTTTGCACTGCATGTGCACAGGACGCTTTATCATTCTACCTACATCCTCCTGTACCTAGACAGGTTCTTCTTACCCAAGACACTGGCAGCAAAGGAAGGGAATAAATCCTTTTCACTGATTCACCTGATTGCTATTTCTCACCTCTGCGACCAATCGGATTGCAAAATCGTTTGTTATGTCCAGTGAGGGCTTTGAAGTGCTATGTTGTCTGCACTAACTCCTTCCGTCTCCCAGGATTTATCCCTAGTTACATAGTTGATTCATATTGCTTATTCTGTACTCTCTATGGTAGTGAGGAGACTTCTGCGAGTCGCATCTCATCAGATTTGTCACATTTCTTCCTGGCCCTTCTTCCTGATCAATATTGGTTCAACACATTGTCCATTTTCTCCTCGTAATTCCGAACACAGAGTGGTCCCATCCTGAGTCCTTGGTTAAGCACAATTTATTCAATGTCCTCCCCATAATTCTGGGGACAAGTGGAATTTACCTTGCACAGTTGGGGAGATAGGATGAGTTTTGTTTCCTCATTCTGGATTATAAGTTGTTTGATCACCAGGTTGAATAGGCAGTGCAGTGTAAGGAGTAGCAAATAAGATGTTTAAATAATTTATTACATCAGAGGTATTTATTTTACAATTGGTTTACACCTCTAACATGCTTTAGAAACAATTCTCTCCCCTCATTACTTTCATCACACTATATGTACAATATGTACTGTAGATATAATGACTCTTCTTGTTTTACAAGACTGCTAATAGTATCAGAATTTCTCTTTTGGGAGATTATTGAAAACTGTTGCTTTAGTTTCACAGATTTTTTTTCTTGTTTTTTCAGGTACCTATGGGTACATCTATTAGAGAAAACTCTCAAGTTGTAGGAGACCTTGATACAGAAGGTGCAAGGTTTGTTGCAGCAAAAGGGGGAGCAGGTGGTAAAGGAAATCATTTCTTCTTGAGTAATGAGAATCGACATCCCAATGTAGCTGAACTTGGAGCTTTAGGTGAAGAACGTGTTTACATACTAGAATTGAAGATAGTAGCTCATGCAGGCTTGGTAAGTTTCAATGTATCTGTTTTTTTGACTGAGTATTGAGATTTAAAAGAAATAATACATGGACATTGAATTAACCCAAAGAATATCAATATAAGCTAAAATGTTTGATTTACTATAACAGTTATCTTTATTAGTGTTTGATTACACAAATGGCAATTTACTGCTTTATTTTCAGCAGATTTTTACTTTAGTTGTTGACAGTAAAATAAACACTGAAAATAAATGTGTGATGTTTAGCAGTTCAAACTTTTTAGAGAAGTACTTGGAAACTTCGTGACCAATAATAAAGAAAAAATGTAACAGCTGCTTATTTTATTTCTGATTTTACAACTTTTCATTATACTTTGATGATTTGTCTACAGGCTAAAGAATCAAGTATATTGTTGAGGTAAAGGTAATAACAGATAAAATATAAAGTTTTACTGAAAAAAAAAGCTTTATAGAGGTTACACAAATGAAATTTGAGATGTTTGAGACAAAGAAAAATATTTTAATCTTAACATGAAAATACCTTTGCATACAGACTAGTAAAAAAAAGATTCAATATATTCACGGACAAATCTTCATTAAAAAATTGATTTTTCGTGTACAAAAGTCTGCCAAAGTTTGTGAACATGTACATACTGTATTAAAAGTTATAGTTATGGAAACTATAACAAGTACAAAGTGGTTACAAGGTCGATAAATTCAACCGAGCCTGGGTGGTGAGAATTAATAAATTCATAACAGAAACTAAATCTTTCCATGGAATTGTGGTATACAGTGCAGTAAATTCAAATGTTTGAATATTTTTCACTTGTTCACAGTTATTTACTTATTCTATTATTATTCAAAATGTGTGTTTCTAATTTTATCAAATAGATTGTTAAGTAACTTACTTAATAAAATGGTCAGTTGTTTAATAATTGTTTTTACTGAACTAGAAATATATGTAAATTTAATCAGATATTTATGTAGTTAGGAATAGCATACAGAAAAAGTAAATCTAGAAAAGAATTTGGTTTAGAATGATATTATTAATTACTGTATCATAGGATTGGTTAGTAAGTTTAAATGTTTGCATACTATTGATTTCATTTATCAGAATTAGTGTATAAAACTTTTTACAAATAAAGCCAAAATTACAATTAGCTTTATGAATAGGAACTATAATAATTTTCTTGTAATTCTTGAAATGATAAATCTATAGGGTATTTTTTTATATTTTATACAAGATAATTTAAACAAGTAATAGGAGTTCCAGTGGGAGCTAAGTATTCTACTTGTATTGCAAATTTATATCTTTATTTTTATGAGAATAGGTTTATTGAAAATTGCATAAACCTGGATATTTTTGCTTTAACTTGTAGATATATAGATGATTTAATTAGCATAAATAATCCAGAGATTAATAATGTCTATCTGGAAGAATTAGAAATTGGGTGTAGAGCCACATTATTTAGATCTAAAAATTAAAATAATTGATAATATCAATCTAAATATTTTTTCTTTTCTAATATACGGCTTACCCTGTTTTAACAGTAATGTTCCATACTCTTCTTTTATAAGTATTATAACTAAACAATTATTCAGCTTGTGCAAAATTTTTAATAAATTACAATATTTCATTATTAATGTTGAACTATTGATGCAAAAATTAATATTCAATGAATTTAATAAAAAAAACAAATGTTTTGTGATGAATAAAATTAAGGAGATTTTGCTGGAATTTTATAAGTATTTTCAGTTTTTAATAAGATCATTTAAATAGCTTGGTGCTACTTTTATGCAGATGAATACCTTATTGCATATGAAGGCTTGTGTAAAGTCTGAATTAATAGTGGACTTAGTTGGGCTTTTATAACTATACTACTATAATTTATCTACTGTAATAAAATTACATTAAATGGGGGCTAGAAATATAGTCTTAAGAGGTAAGTTTATCTTACTTACCCCAAGTGGTAGTACCTTATTTTGTTTTTCTTTTCTTTTACTTTGGAGACCATTCATCTTCCCACAAGTGTTTCCAGGCAGTGAAGGGTGCCTGCAATTAGGGTTTGAGCACCCACATCTCCTAACTTGTATTGCTTTTGATGATTTTTTAAAAATGAATTTCTTCATGTGAGATGGGTGAATGGAGGTTAAGACTTATATACAATGTATCTTCACCACAATGTGGGTCCTACTTTCACAGTCACCTCCAAAACCCAAGGCACATTTTATATCCAACATTACCCTGTACCCTACCAATCCTTTTAAATTTAAGTTTGTTTTTTGTTTGGGCTTATTTTGTTCATTAAAATGTCATTTATCACAGGTTTGGAGTTGCTGTTTTTAATGCAGTCCTTCCTTTTAATTTTATTTTGCTTGACTGTTTAAGTGTTAATTTTTTATACACACATTAAGTAATTATGAGAGTTACAGTTAATTTTTATAGAAGAAGAATATTATTGTTAGTAGCAGTTCCAAATTTTTCAATAAAATAACTAGCAACAATTTACTAGTGCCTTCAAAAGTTAAGATTGAAGCGTGAAACAGTTTCTACATGAGCTGGTGGAGTACAATTCCATTACAGTTGGAAGGTAATTGGCCAGGAAACAGCTAAAGAGATGTTGTAACCTGGCAATGATTAACAATTCCTTGGAAAGTTTTAAATACTCTTTATATTAATAACTTAAAGCTATTTTGTATAAATGTGGTATTTTAATTGCAGCATCACATATAAAACACAACTTCTGAACTAGTGGGAAAAATAACTGTATGTAATGAACAATACAAAAACAATTATACTAGAAAACTACACAATGTTTACATAAAAAAATGGTAACCACATTTTTGGAGATGATCAAATTATTAATTCAGTGTGGTTCATTTAGTGGTTAGTATTCCACTTACTTTCCTGCAGTATAAATTCTTCTATACAAATACAAGATACATGTATATATATCTGTGGGTGGGGGGTGTTTTTCAGATAAGATGTATGATGATATTTGTTGATTTTCAAGGTAGCTTTTGTTTTTTACAGTAAGATCCCATTTTAGTAACCTGCACTTTATTTATCCAAGTCCTGTATATACCTTACATAATGTTGCAGGTGGGGTTTCCAAATGCAGGAAAATCATCTCTATTGCGAGCAATTTCAAGAGCACGTCCAAAAGTTGCATCTTACCCATTCACAACTCTCAGCCCACATGTGGGCATTGTTCATTATGATGATTATGAACAAGTAGCAGGTAAGACTGAGCAAGTATTTAGAGATAAAAGATTACACTTGGCTTCATTTGCTATGTCTTAATTCAAATTATTCAGTTTATAATTGTTTTACAATTTCATAACACCTTTCAATAAGACTTCATTTGCTCTTACAAGAGGGAGAACAGATATATCAAAGTTTGGAACAACTCTTCAAAAAGAGTAAATTTTGTTAACAATGTTACTTATTCTTAAAATCTTGCACAATTATGAAAATTTGGTCCAGAAAAACCAATTTGAGAGTATTGTATAAAATAAAACCACTAAAACCTGATTTATCACTTTCCAACAAATTATTCAATTTAGAATTTTTAGATGATAAGAGAAATTTTCTGAGAATATGAATTTATACATTTGTTACAGTGGCAGACTTACCTGGACTGATATCTGGAGCCCACCAGAATCGAGGACTGGGATTATTTTTTCTTAGGCACATTGAACGATGTGTTTTCCTACTGTATGTAGTGGATCTGTCTCGGCCTTCTCCACTTGACCAAGTTTTTAGTCTAAAGTTTGAACTAGAACAGTACCAAACAGGCTTGTCCAACAGGCCACATGCCATTATAGCCAATAAAGTCGACTTACCTGAATCTGCAAGCAACCTGAAAGAACTCGAACAAGGTGCAAATATGCCAGTTTTTCCCATTTCAGCAAAACTTGGTACAAACATTGGTTCAGTGCTTAGACATATAAGAGAACTTTATGATCAGCATAATAAAGACAAGTTGCAGTGGTAAATGGTGAAAACTGCCTTACCTACAGATTTATAGTTTGAACAGCTAGTTATATTTATGTAATTACTAACTTGCACAATATATGCCAGATTTGAAACTTATCAAAAGCTAGAAATGAGGCATCCTCTTGAAATTTTTGTGTGATAACTGTAGTCATCCGAGAGGTAATTTTTATGGGAAAAACAAAAGCCAGTAAGTTTACCAGCACTATCCTTAACTGAACATGTTTTTATGAATGGTTGTTAATAAACTGCATAGACCATATGAGGTAAGAAATATTTTGTAGGGGAGGATAATTCTACATTTTGAAATCTTATGTCAAAAACTTCACTTGTTGATAATTCCTATCATATAGCTTGCTTTTTGCTTGAAGGTTTTATTGAAAGTTGGGAAATTAAATTTATATTTGAAATGAACATTCTTTAGAGATTAAAAGAATAAGGTTTTGGCTCTTTATAACTTGCTTTATTTACAGCTGAACATAGATATGGAATAAAAATCTAGTTTGTGGGAAATCTTGTTAGACTCAGTTTCTAAATTGATTGTAAAAAAAATGTTTATTTCTAGGCATAATGTATGGTGAAAAACCAAGCCCAATCTATCAAGTATTGAGTTAAACACCATGCTCACATTAAGATTCCTTTAAATTTAATAAATTATTTTTTCACAATGGTTATGAACTGTTCTAACTGTAATAATGAGACAAACTATTTGTGGGCCTTACGTGATAGGAAAATGGAAGATTCTGGCTTAAGGCATTAGCAAGCTACCGTCTAACAGTGCTTTACCCAGTCCTTTCAAATTAACAGCAATGTAGTTTAAAAATGAGAAACTTGGATTAACAGCTTGAAAATTTACATTGCCATCAGATAATTTTGACTCAAGCAGTACCTTAGATAATTTTTTATTAGCTGTAGATGATTGAAGCTTCTTCCGCAGAAGTTAATGTGATGGGCATAGTAAGCAGAATCCTCAGTGCAATGAATGATTGTTAGAACACTTCTTTTAAGCCATTTTTGTGGAGAAAGTTTAATATTTCCATGGCTGTTGAATTGGATGGAAGCATTCCTGGCAAACATTGGAGCTTATCAAATATCTCATAATCATTAGTATCTGTAGATGAACCATTTATCAAAACCCGTTTTAAATTTTTCCAGCAATCCAGAAGGGTTGGATGTTCTATGGTTTCCAAGACATATATTACATAGGAACCTAAAATGCTCATAGCATTTCTTGAGAAGGCCAAATCACTTGTTACAAGAGGTAACTCTAGTATGAAGTAATACATAGAAATACTGAGTTTTGAACTGTGCTTGAGGGTCACTGGCCTTTTTTGTTTCTATGGCTACATTTCTTTGGAAATCTCTTCTCTACTTTTACTGTTTCTTCATGACTTAATTGTTCAAAGTCTTTGACTGTGCCTTCACAGAAATCATTTAGCTTCTCCATTAGTGCATCTGCTGACACAATCTCTTTCTCAAGTCCAGTATCTCCGTACTTCTGAAGGTAAATCTCCATCACTCTCTTAAGTTATCTCTCTTGAGTGTTGTCAAGCTGCATCTGTGAAGACTGCAATAATTTGCTGACCTTGTTTACTTGTGCAAGAAAGTAATACCATATGACAAGTGAAAGAAGAAACTTATAAGAACTTAGCTCATGATCAGCTATAAATCTTGCTCCTCTCTTGATCTTAGCACCAGTTGACACTTTTGATAGTTTAAGTAGTGCATTTTGAATGTCTGCTACTTGAAAGCACACAGCCTTTTACATAGTCAATTTGACATTCCCAACATGTGTGTTTGATAGTGTCTACAGGAATGAGTTTGCCAAACCTTCAACAGAACAATCTATAACAACTAAGAAGTCAAGAAAGTGTTCCTGAATTTCAGCTGTACTGCCTGACAACCCCACTATTCTAGTAACCACAGTAATTTGCTCCTGATGGGAGTCTGATGTATAATCAAGAATCACTGAGTAATACTTGGCTTTTTTTTACCTAATTAAAAATTTTTCCCCTGATCTTCTAATAAGTTAAATGAATTAGTTCACTTTGTACTGTCTTACCAAGATAATGGCCATGGATTAATTCTCCATATATGTTCCTGCATCAGAAGGTCAAACTTTCCAAGAAGTTCAACCAGTTCCAAAGAGTTGCATTATTTTGAACACCATGTCTATCAATGCTACCACAAAATGCTTTTTTGCTCTACTAAATAATGAACAATTGCTAACAATCACTCTATAACATTTCGCCAGTGTTGTTTTTCAAGCTGAACCCACTGCTGATGTTGCTGATAAGTGGTTGCACATGTCCTAATTTGTAACTCTGTTTTCAATCATCCATGCAAGTTATTACAACAGCTATGGGAATTATCATGCTCTTTTAGATGTACAGTTTCTGTAACCAGTTGTGGATAGCTTAATCAGCGCTCTTCCAAACAACTTATAGCGAAAACAGTATACAGAATCTTTTGTCTTTGAATATACCAGCCATCTTCTGTCCACAAGTTCTCCATTTAGGAGCTTGCACCTGTAATTGGCGAACTGAAAAACTACCATTCGAGTCATCTTTATGGAGCATTAGTTTTTCAGCTGTGTGTGTGTGTACTGGGCCCTTTTCAACTAACAAGTCTTTTAATTTCTGAGTAATTACAATTGGCCATGTTCCAGGATAGTCCAAATCAATGATGGAGGAGTGCTCAGATTCAACATTCCTTGGCCTGTCAATTTCACCACCATCGGTATCTTCAGCTGCTTCTTCATTTACCAAATTAATGCCACCAAGTAGATAAGGTGTGTGTGTGTATGTATTTTCATCAGGGCAACATATATTAGGCTTAGCATTTTTAGAAATAGCACAAGTAGTTGGTGGCTCAGACTGAACTTTAGAGTTTGGGTTTACTTGTTCCTCTTGACTTTGTTCTAGTACACTTGGCTGAGGTGGTTCATTTTTATTTCCCTTGTCCTTTTTTTTTTTTGCACTTTTGATGGTCTGCATTAATTTTTCTCTTCCGAGATACTAACTCGCCTTCACACACAGAAAAGCTAGCTTCTTTATGTCTCTGGCTAAGAGAACTGCACTGGTGTATTATGATGTCATCATGTGACCAAAACCCTCCAGCAATAGCAGGGTGACACAACCTCTATCTGCAGTAACTCCCCTAATGAATTTGTGATAACCTCATTCTCTGAAAAGGTTTGAACTGAACAGACATGTTTAATTTTGTTGAGATTTGCTTTATTAACAAAACTTTGATTTTCAGTTGCTTTAAATTTTACTGTGAATTCTGAAATCACAGTGATGACTTAGTCCTGTGGGAGTGAAGTTATTAAATACACACACACCTTATTTCTACTATGGCTTCTGTAGGCTTGTTAGTTGTTGGGGATGTTGTGGAATCTTTTGCCCATGTCCTGTATTATTATTTCTCTCTCTTTTTCTCTATGATCCACAGTGCTTGGGGATTTTCTTGTCTTTCCTCCTAGCTTGTTATTTGGATGTATACCGTTTCCTTTCTCTAATAGCTCCTCTCATCAATCCAAATGCATTGTCCCATCCTGTTCACGATTCTTTTTGTCCTGACTTTCTCCCCTTTCTTTTCTCAATTCCTTGCCCTTGGAGATCAGACCCCTTACCTTTTATTTTGCTCTCCAGTTCCCCATTTTTGCACATTTGTCTTTTTCTTGTATCCCCTTGCATACCTCTGCCTTTTGTCTGAGGAAATTTATGTTGTTTCCTTCTCTTTGATAGCTTAGCTATTCCACTTCTGCTTTAATCCTTCATACTTTGTTCCCCTGATGATGGGACTTGCTGCATCAGGCTATATTTCTTTTTACTCCTTTCTCCTTGTGTACATGGTATTCACTGGGCTGTTTCTTTGCCTGGATGTCTTCAGTGGTGTTCATTTCTCCCTGGTGACCAGGACTGGTATTACATAGCTTTAGTCTTTTTTTTTTTTTTTTTCTTTATTCAACCTTGCCTTTTACTTCTGTTCTCAGTCTAGGTTAGTCTACCTCTCACCTCCTCAGTCCTGGTTCCAGGCCTTATTTTCTTGTCCTCCCCCTACCAGATGTATGGTTCTGTGGGAACTCATCTACTCCTTTTAACCTGCAATTAGTCTTTTTTTTTTTGCCAACATTCTTTTTTTATTTCCTTACCATGGTCTCACTTCTGTTCTTGTTGATACTCTTTCAAATTCCCTTTCTTTTCTCTCAGCTAGTCTTTTTCACATGGTCGATTTGTTGGATAGCATCCTCCATATGTTTTCTACATTCTGTCACTCAGATGCACCTCTTCCAGTTTCTTGCTTTTCTTTTCCACATAGCATCAGCCCCTTTGCTCACTATATTCAAGGCCTGGGGCTAGCATTCCTTTTGTTGGATAATTGACTTTTTGCCCATTTTTGGATGGTATCCTCTTCTCACACCTCCCTTTCTTTTATAGGAGGTTAATTGGTTGGGGGTGGCTATGTCCTTTTTCACACCCACTAAAATACTTTTCTTCATTTCTTGTGTCAGGAAAATTCAGCCTAATCTTTATCTGCAAGCTATGGTGCATCTAATCATCAGGATTTTTGCTTCTCATTCCCCGTAACCCCTTATTTCTTTGAGGTGTGCACATATGCACTTCCTTCGGTGGTCGTTGCAAGTCTAAAGGATTTATTTGCAGGTTCTGTTGTCCTCATTTGATCCTCTTATTGAGCAATTGTCTTAGTGACCTATACTACTTGCAGCATTCCTTCACCATCTCTCAAACTGATCTATCTCTTCACTGATTGAAGTAAATCTCTGGAGAAGTACATGACTTCTGGTGTTTGGACACGTGTCAGGCATTCATTGTGTTTCTACATGCTCAAACTTCTCACTGTTCATCAGGCATGTCCCCATTCCTGCCCCTACTGGTAGATCACTTGGTCATGAACCACTCCAACAATTCCACTGTCATTTATAGCAATGACTATTCAGGAGGCACATGTTTAAGGAACTTTTGCTTTTGGACATTGGACTTACTGTGATTTATCATAAGCTAAGAGCAAATGGTGGACTGCCTTTTTCTGTCAGTCTGCATTCTCCCAGTGGAATGGTCTCTACATCTCAAGGTCAGTCACTTTACTTAATCTCTGTTGGGCATGCCTCTCGTAGATAGCTTTGACACCCTTCTCAACTCCAGGCTACCTTTGTGGCTGTAGATGCCCTCAACAAGGCCTGGTCTCAACTCTTTCTACATACCTATCCGTCTCTTCATCTCCTTTAACAGGTCCTCACTTTGATACACGACACTCCTTGTCGGGTCATATTGTTGGCACCTTTTTGGCCAGCTCAGCCTTGTTTCCATCCCCTTTTTTCTGCCCAATCTCCTCTCTATTACTTTGACTTCACACATTCCCTTTTCATTGCAGAATATCATCCCTTCGTCTTGTGTTGGATTTGTCCAATCCAGTGGCATTCCTTTTGTTACATTCTTGTCACCTTTCCATTTTTGTCAGCCCATCTGTCATTTCTTTTTTTCCATGCCATTCTACTGTGAACCCCCTTTCTTCCTTTTTACTTTACTGGTTATTGAGCAGCCTTATGCATTACATTTTGTCATCCTGTTTCTACAGGGTTTTTCTTCCCTTGTCCTCTCCTTTTTTGTTCTGACCCTTCATTCTTCTCCATCATCTTCACTCAACTCCCATGCCTGGCTGGGACTTTAATGTAGTTTTTCACTCACATATACCCTGTTTGAGCCATTGGCTTCTTGCTCATTGTTTTGTCTTTCTCTCCACACTTCCCCAATCTCATCTTCAGTTACCATTGTCTATGCTATTGATGTTTCTTGGACCTTCTTCCACCATTTATATACTCCTACTGCTTGAGAAGGTAACCATACTTTTTCTCCCATTTCCCCTCCTTCTGTCCCTCATCTATATGTTTGTTTAGTCCTGGAGTGGCTCCTTTGTCTTGCCCCCCCCCCCCATTGTCTGTGGCTACCATGGGGTCTGTTTACTCCTCAAATGCCTATGTGTGTTTCAAGGTGTGGATGCACATAGGCTAATTTACATTTCTTCACATTGCCCTAGGACAAGATCCTCTATATGCATCATGTGGACAATTTTCCACATATTTGTCTTTCTATATCTACACCATCTGGCTCTTTTTGTCTCCTGCTGGATTTTGGCTTCCACACCTTGCCATTATTCAATCACCCCAACATCTTTGAGAAGAATAGGTACAATTTCTTTTTTTAGAGCCCCTTTATAATACTTACCCAAAATCCACACCTAGCCAGATAAAATGCACTCATACTATCTGTCCTGGCTCTCCCAGTGCCTACTGTGAGATGGGTGTTCCTCAAGATCACTTGAGGTTACCTTCTTTGTATACACGTTTACTCAATGGTCTGATCCAGGCCATACCTATTTTGTGGACTTTGGTGGTAAAAGCCACCAGGGAAGTGTTCTGCCCAATTATTTAGCTTGCTCTTGCTGGGTTTTGTGGTCCCCATTGCATAGATTAGGAAAATGTTAACTCTGCAGCAAGAGGCATATTTACAGCCCTTATCCTTGTCTGTACTTATATTGGTGATTGCTATTTTGCTAAGGGGTAGCATCCCTTACTGTGTAAGACAGTGTTATGATATTCGTAACTGAGACAAAGCTGCAGGGCCCTATACAAGTGATTAGTTTGAGTAATAACTTAGCACATTATTCTTTTAGCTAATGTATGAAAAGTACTTCCAAAACAACTAGAATATATGTAGAAAAATCACTATTTAAGTATTGTGAAAATATTTTTACTAATGTTTTTATTGTATTCATTCACTGTACATGAACAATAAATAGTTGAAATTTATTGTTTGAAGAAACAGAATTAATTGTTCTCACTCATTTTACAAAATCATTTAATTTGTCATTTGCTATAATACATAAACCATGGTTTCTTGTATCCAAACATCTTTCACATAGAATAGATAAAGGTGTAATTACAAATGTGTTCCAGAGGTTGATCAACTGTTTGTTTTATAAAACATCGTTAGTGTTCCCTCATCACTGCATTAAAAATTGTCAAACTATGTGTGAAAACTTACGAGTTAAACAGCTGCTTGTACTTACAACACATTTTCCCTATCATTTTGAGAATCATTACTGTTCTATACACATACAAGAGCCTCCAAAAATAAACATCTCATCTAGCCAGGAAGGTAGAGAATCGGTTATTGCAATTAATTTTAGGTCTGTTTTCTCACATCTATTTATTACACTATTTTAGAAAAAAAAAATATGCAGGTCTGAAATTTACGTATTTTTTAAAAGTGGCAAAGAATATTATTCTCACAGTCTTCATCACAATTGAAAGGTATAGTTATTTACTAACAAGGAATTTATATTATATAAATATTATATTACTAAATCTGTTGAAGCTATTTTTTTGTAATCTACCATGTTTGTTAGAAGATTTTACGGATTTTGTAGTCACTATGGTTGAAAACTAGTCATAACTGGAATAAACACACTTAAATTCAACTCCTTTCACACCTAACTAAATGTACTGCTAGAAAGAATATCCACACACACAAACTTGCAAAAATATAAATCACCACAAAAATTCCTGAGTTTTACAAATGTAATGGGTTTCAGAATTATGTACAGTATATATTATACTCTTAATTCTATCTAGAGTTCATACTAAAACTATAATTACTCTTTCTATATACAGTGTAATATATCAGGTTCTATTGTACACAATGTTGTTTCTGGACATTTAAGTTATGCTTTCTTTCAACATAACTTAAATATTAAGTAACTCGTATTTTACACTTAGATTTAAACAAACAGAAAGAAAGTATTATTCTGTCTAATTTTGGAAGTATCAATGTATAGCAAGACTATAATTACAGTTCATGAATTAAGAAGAACTTGATATTGTTACATAGATCAAACAATTGTATGATCATAACAATGTACAGGAAGGTGTAAATGCTTCATTAAATACAGCACGAGACCATAACATTGTTTTCAAACTTGAGCATATACATAATGATGAACAAAACATCTCTGTCATATTCAGATTACAAAATGATGTAGTGGAAATGATTGTTCTTCACATTACTAAAATGTTTCTCCACAGTTTTACTATCTAGAAATATTGTTCAACTGTCATTGATGTTATTTGGCTAGCGAATTTTAATATAACCTAGTCTATTCAGTAACATCAGTTTTTCTTTTCAAGAAAATGTAGTAAGAGCGAGTACCAACTGATGGAGTTTGAATTCCTGTGTGAAAAGATTCCCCATATTGATCAGGAACCCTGTTTTCAAGATGATTAGCAGAGCAACTTAGTTCTCCCTGTCCAGCATCGACATTATTTTGTTGAGTGATAGGCTTCCTCGGAGGTCGGCTTGGTAGAGAGACAGAATGAACTCGAGTTCTTTCTGTAATAGCAAGCTCGATGGAGTCTGTACCTTCAACTTCCACACTGGCTACTGGAAGATCCAGACAGGGAGAAATCAGTTCTGGTTCTTCAGCCAAAATATCTACTATTTCACTAGCTACTGGCCGATTCTGAGGTAATTTTGACCAGCAACAGTGTAGGAGATTTTCCCTGAAAAAATTTCAGTCAATGAAAAAAAAACTTTTTTTACTCATAAATGTAAGTGCAGTTGACTGTTAACTAACAATTGTTTGAAAAGCTGAATACTGAATGTTTTTGTGCTAAAACTTGACATCTTGTATTTCTGGTTCTAGACATAGAATAGATGGATTTTTTTTTCACAATACACTCTGTCTTCCTATTACATGACTATTCAAAAATTGACTTTTTTTTTAATTGTTTCAACAAAATATTTTATATTCCTTAATTTTGTGTGGACTAGGTTTTTCACAACCAAATATTAGATATATCTTAAGAAGTATCTTTAGATTTTTCCAAAAATCTCGCCAGCTAGGTTTCAATGTTCAAATAAAACTTACAAAGGATCCTTGCATCCTTTGGGCACTGGTAAAGTGTTGAATCCCTTTACAAAATCTAGCACCTGGTTGTTAGATAATCCCTGGTAAGGAAAACTGCCAAATGTTATTATCTCATAAAGCAAGACACCATAACTCCAAATGTCAGACATTGGTGTGAACAATCCATCCAATAAACTCTCAGGAGCCATCCACCGAACAGGAAGCATTCCTATCAGAAATACGTCCATGTTTACTCAAACTTAACTTAGTTGATAACTAAAATAATATATACTTTCATTCAAAAATAATGTAATAGAACACTTCCCAACAGACTATTCTAGAGCTAAACAATTCTCATGGTATCTATCTTTCCTATCTATGTTAAGCAAAAAACTTTCCATGTCTAAACATTTTCCAAACTAATAATTTAATTAGCATTCCATAACAAATTACACAAAATTAAAAGGATTTTTTTTATTTTTAAATTTCCTTATACATTTGAAAATCTGCAGCCTTCATATGTTTAAAACACCGAAATGAAAAACAAAAACATGGCTCAAGTAAAATAATCTGTATGTCATAAAGATGCCTTTTTATATGCACACTATATTTATTCACATTATACAAGCATAAGCTATGAAGTATTACACTATTCACTTCAACAAAAAAGACATATTAGAATTTTCAGGAACTTTACATATGAAGCATTAGTGAATTTCTTAGGTTTACAAAGGCATTCAAATTTTACTGACATTTTATTTTCTTACTTTAGCAAAAAGAAATAATTGTTTGTTATAATAAGCATTTTTCTCTTTCCAAAACATATATGAAGGTTCCAAATTTGCACCCAATTTTGTTTTTTACCCCAAACAAAATTTATTCAGTAGAAAGAGCTTTCTAAATACTTTGGTATTTAACTATAAAAATCATAAAGTTCAGTATATGTTTTTCAGGTACTGCTGTATATTTTAACAAATTATAAAGTAGACTGGTTTCAAAACTGTTAAAAACTTTTTGCATAAAGTCGATAAATACAATATTCTTATTTATTATGATTTTTGTTTAATAACTTCATATAGATTCCCTTCAATATTATTTTTTCATATAAGAGGTAATTGTACCATTAATACTACTTGCAGTTCTTCTAATAAAGTAACTAAGTACAAGTTGTGTCTGCTCACGATAAAATTTTGATGGTTTAATATTTTATACAGTTTCTGATTAGATCTGGCCACATGATAAGAAGAATGCCCCTCCTTACACCCGAATTCAGCACTAACTTTTACTCCAACAATTTTCATACCTTGCATGAGAAAAATGATGGCTCATGCTACTCACAAATGTGCTGGATGTCATTTAAGAACTGCTCCTCCTGTTACCATGCAAATGCTTGGTGCTAAGCCATATTATGTCCAATGTAGTATTGCAATTAGTGATGTGATTGTTTTGCTATTATTAACATATTTTGATAGACCTTTGCAATGCACAAAATAAGATTAGTACATTAACATTATTATTACTGTACTTATGTTTACTTAAACTATGATTTTGTGATTTGTGTGGTATTTGCAACAAAAAATATCTCCACACAATTTACAGTTTTCACATGTGTTACAATAGTTTAACAAACACAACTTACACCCCAATGTTTTCCTTTTAAGAAGTACCCACTTAAGTAAGTAACACATATAAATACATTCTAATTACAAATAGGTTATAATTTCATCATATAGGTCAATTATTAGGCCACATTCGAAGTATTGTGTTCAGTCTTGTGCTCCTTACCTTACTAAGAACACTGAATTGTTGGAAAGGGTTCAGAGGAGAGGCTACTCAGATGGAAATGTTTTCATATGAAGACGGGTCAAGAGTTTTCTTTATTTTCAAGAGAAAACAATTACAGAGTTAAAGGGGATCTTATTAAGCAATGTAGTATAGCTTAATGTAAACACAGCCTACATTTCTCCTCTTAATAAAATGTGTAATATAGTTTAATATAAACACAACCTACACACCTCTCTTGTTAAACCGGTAGTAATCAGAGTCATACATAGGTCGACACATTCCAAAGTCTGCAATCTTGACAGTTCTGTAGGCATTAACCAAACAATTTCTGCAAGCAAGGTCTCTATGAACATATTTCATTTCAGCCAAGTAACTCAGCCCTCGAGCAATATCTAAGGCCATGCTAGTCAACCTCTGATCACTCACTTCATCAGATGAGGACCGTTCTGAAGCACGAACCAGGTGACGGCGAGCCAACAAGTACGTCTTCAAATCCCCTTTGTCAAAAATAACACCAAATTTAATTGGTATTTTTCCATTTTTAAACTTCATATTTTCCAAATAAAGAAAATGTATATATAAAGACAGTCAGAATATTTTTTACACATTTCTGTTCATTACATTTTTATAATATGGTTTTAGCAAGAAATTGTGAGGTTATAAAAAATAACTAAATGCTAATGTCATTACAGAAATAAAACTTTGATTAAGCCTACTGGGCTGAATGCACTTCTAAAGTCTAAAGCTGAAAAATTTCTCTAATCGCATACCTTGAATCACGAAGATTTAACCCAGAGATTATTAAAAAAAAATTTAGTCTCTCAACTAGTTCAGGCAGCATAAGTTACCTGATAAAATTATTACTAGAAATGGGTATGAATTTTTTAGTGATATAAGTGGAATGGTGGGTTGAAATGAGAATTCTGGTTTTGAGATGGTAATGCTAATTTCACGATGCAAGTGCTTGTTTTATGATGGGAATTACTGAAAATTTTAGTTGGTTTTGTGATGTGAGTGCAAGTTTTGAAATGCAACTTACTGTAAATGTATCATTGGAGATAAGAATACTGTTTTTGAGATGGAATATTAGTTTCACGATGAGAAATGCTGAAAATGTAAGTAGGTTTTGAGACAGCAATGTATTTCAGATGAAAATCCTAGTGTTTTTGATGGGATTAGAGCTGAGAAAATTAATTAATTACCTATGAGCAGCAATTACATTAATTAATGACCAATAAAACTAATCAATTAATTGAAATTATAATTATCCGATAAATGTCAAAAAAGTAATTGAAATTAGTTTCGGACTATTACCATTTTTGAATATTCCATCAACTAAATAATCAAAATTATGATTGAATCGATTGTGACAAAAATAATCAACTAATCAAAATTTGGGTTTTGATATATTCAATGTTTGATTATTCCGAATATCCAAGCAATTGAAATATTGTCTTTGTTTTTGTTGTTAAGCACAAAGCTACATAATCGGCAAGTTGGAGGATGCTTCATGATTTGAGGATCGAGTTTGATTTCCATTTCCACTGAATTTACTCATTTTGTCTTTGTTCGGAAATGAATAACTATATTATTTAAGGTTGAATAAGCAGGCATAGATTTAGGGGAGGAGTCCAAGAGAGTTGAAACACCCACCTCTTTCACCTACTTTCTTCAGAAACTAATAACTATTATTTAATGTTGTATAAGTGGGCTCAGTTCTAGGGGGATTCAACCCCCTCAATTTTTTAAAAATTAATTAAAAAACAACCAATAGTATTAAAAATAAATATTAGATGTCATTATTTATATTTGATTGGTTGGTTGTTTGTTCTTAAACATAAAGCTACATACTGGGCTATATGTACTGTGCTCACCACAAGTGTTTAAACCCAGATTTTTAGTAGTATGGGCATTCAGACTTACCTTTCAAAATTTTTAGTGCATACTGGAGGGATTTACACATTTGGATAAAACATTTAGAAAAAAAAATTACCTTTACACTACAGATATTTGTAAATAAACTTTTTAATTTTAACCAATGTTTCCCACTTGTGACTTCATCAAGGTTAGTACATACATATTAGAATAGTTGTTAAATTATAAAACTGCTTGTAATGTTCTATTTCTTGAGTATGCCATAACGTGCATCTCATAATGTATAGGTTATTATTATTGTTTCATTATTGTATTAATATTATATTACTTATGTGAGATATAAAAATAAAGAGAACTACAATATGTTATGATTAGCTAAAAAAAACACATAGACAGAAAACAGAAGCTGCAAAGGATAAAAAGCTTAGTAGCAGTGTTAAAAACAAATTGTAAGACTGTGATACTCCAGAATACACAAGTGTTAAACTGAAAGTGTCAAGTGTACTGGTCTGATGTGTTGTTTTTTGAACAGCAGTTTAGTTACATGTACCACCCATTGCCTCTGTTCGTTTTTGGATTTTGTTCATTAATAAGTGTAGCTTCCATATATTTTCTCTCCTTAAAATCTTTGTTTTCTGTAAGACAGAAACTTTAAATGGGTTAAGATTTTCTGTGTTTGTATAAGAAGTGTTCTGCTGGAGCAGTTTTGTGTTGGTCATACCTATATAATGCACTGATGTGTTCTGAGATGAAAGTGTGAAAAGTTCTTCCAGTTTCTCCTATATATGCATCTTCACATATATACACCTGGAAAAAAGTTAAGCACCCCCAAATATTTTT